TTACGTATAGCTGCCGTCTGATTAGAAGTCGCACCACGCGTCATGCATTGGGGGAAGGGGCTCATCGTGGACGCAATGGACCCAGAGTCCACACAATTTTGGCGGCGCTCGTGGCCTTCCGCGTGAGAAACGGAACTGATCCTCACGTCCAAACGCTCCGTGTCACTCAAGCGAGTGTGAGCAACCGACAACGCGTGCTAACGTTAGCCGTCACGCACGCGACAGACACTTTGTCCATCTCTCATTGAAGAAGTTTCAGAAGCTGAAACGCTGGGAAAGTGGGAAACAGAACCAAAACTCCAAAAGTCCAAAACTAGACGACACACAGCCACGCCACGACCTGAAGCTCTGAAGCAGCTGAAAGCCTGAGTGAAGTGCGCGAACACCGGCGATGCAAGCAAAACCAGTGGGAGATCGCTGTCCTGGGAAAAAAAACGTACCTACAAAAAAACTGGGAAAATATGTGTCGCTTGGTTTCTAAACTTATTTTGATCATATATAAGAGCCTGTTTGGTTCGCCTAGTAGCTATTAAATTTAGTAGCTTTTAGTCACTTTAGTAACTTTTTAACTAAACGTTATGACTAAAAGCTACTAAAAGGGCTTTAGTCCTCTCTAGTAACTCTAGAGTTACTAAAATAACTTAAACCGTTTAGTAGCTACTAAAGTTGAGTAGCTTGAATCAAACACCCGCTAAGTAGATTTTATTTAAGCTCTACCTTACCAGACAGGAGCAATGGCCAATCGTGAAGCGAAGCGAAGGTCTCATTCTCACTCTCATCCACGGCTGCAGCTGCAGGGATAGACCATGGAACTCTGAGAAAAAGACAGGCCGTGACTGCCATTACTTCACTGCCGTCGTCTCCGTATGTCTTGGATGGAATATGGGATGGGTCCGTTTGGCTCTCGCGTCCATCCGCGTTCGCCGGGCGGCAACCGGGGCGGCGGGGCCATAACTCCTCTGCTTCCAAAGCAGCCGTCTCACCTCTCGACTTCGTCAGTCAGTCAGTCCTCTCACACGACCGTCGTCGTCGTCGTCGCTGCTGGCAAGTCTACACACGTACACGTAGTGGGACTCGAGTATGCAGCTAGTCACCAGCAATCGTGCAATGCCGTTCGGATTCATCAAATCATGAATGCAGCTTGTTTGGAAGACAAAGAACATTTTAACCATGGAACTTTCCCCTTTTCTCTCCAGTTTGAAGATTAAGAGCAGCAGCAGTTACAAAAGTACATATCCATTCAATTTTGTAGCAGACTATTTGACTAAAATGGTTTATAAAGCACAAAGAAATGGTTTGATAACTGGTTTGATTAGTCACATTATTCTCAATGGAGTTGCGATATTGCAGTACGCTGTTGATACAGTTGTCTTTTTAAAACATGATATAAATGGTGCTGTTCACATGAAGTTGCTTTTGTATTTGTTTGAAATGCTTGCTGGCCCTAAGATAAACTTCAACAAAAGTGAAATTTTCATGATTAATGATGAAGAGAATTGGGGGCAAACATATGCTGATATTTTCAATTGCCATGTGGGTCTTTTCCAATTAAATATATGGGGGTTCCTGTGAGCCCTAGCAGATTAAAGGTTAGTGATTGGATGTCCTTAGTTGAAAAAAGTCTCAAAAGATTGGATGTTTGGAAAGGTAGCTCTTTATCAATTGTAGGAAGATCTACTTTGATAGGATCCAGTCTGAACAATTCACCAATCTACCATATGTCTGTTTATCTTTTACCCAAAACCATCATAAAAAGGTTAGACAAAATAAGAAGAACTTTTTCTGGCAAGGAGGGGATACAAAGAAGAAATATCATCTTGTTAAATGAGAAATAATTTGCAAAAGTAAGAAACAAGGAGGTTTTGGTATCAAAGATTTAAGTTTGTTATGCAAGTAGTGGTGGAAACTTGAGAAGGAAGACGGGTTATGGCAAGAGATTGTAAGATATAAGTATTTGAGGAAAAATCTATATATGAAGTAAAACATAGTCTAAATGTTTCTGCCATGTGGTCTGATCTTCTCAAGGTGAAGGACATCTATCTGCAGGGGAGAGGGATTAAGCTGGTAAGGGAGAACTAACCAGTTTTTGGCTTGATAGTTGGCTATATGATGAACCTTTGTCTTCTTGTGCTTCTATTCTGTTTGAATTATGTGATAATAAGAATGTGACTGTTACACACGTTAGAAATGATTTTTTTAACTATTTTTAAATCTAACATTGTTTATTTTTTTTTTCAAAATTAATATTTTTTGCTGCGCCTATTTGCATGGGCGCATGGTGGTGAGACAAAAGGATAACGTGGCGACCGACTGAAGCGCCGACCGATGACGTGGAAGAGTCTGGTCTTGCGAGCATGGCGCGGCGGTCACTGGTGCAGCTGCTGCCCTGCCATATGCATGAGAGAGTAAATGCATGCATCATGCATGGCAGCCAATGACAAGGGCGGACGAGCATCGATCTACTACAAGGCAGCAGCCTGCAAAATTTATGATCTGGCAGCCTTAACCAGCGGGACGACCTCTGTGGATTGCGTCTGTTTCTTTGACAAGCAAAGAAAGACCTTGTTTAGATTGTAAGTTTTTTTACTCTCTCTTTATCACATTAAATCTTTGAATATATGTATGGAGTATTAAATATAGATAAAAAAATAACTAATTACACAGTTTGATTGTAAATTACGAGATGAATCTTTTGAGCCTATTTAGACTATGATTGGACAATAATTGTCAAATACAAACAAAAGTGCTATAGATCAATACTGATTCCTAACAACAATCTAAACAAGGCCGAAATGTCCAATATGCTGCCCTCTATGTAGGGCCTATTTAGTTCCCCTCCAAAACGTCATATGCTGCCCTCTCGTCGTTGTCACCGTGCATGGCGCAGCATAGATATTTCGTCGCGCCATACTAAATAGGCGCAGCAAAAATTATTAGTTTTGAAGAAAAAAATAAGGTTAGATTTAAAAAAGTGTTAAAAAAATCGAAATGGTTTCAATATAACTTTTAGACGCTGGCTTTTTGAGGAACTTAGAATCTGTTGGGATAAAATCTGTTTTGATATGTCTGTTTTCCAGTTTACTGACATTCCTGATTCAGTTATATGAAAATTGGAGAAGGTACCTTTTCTGTCAAAACTGTATACAATGGTCTATCTAGATCTGAGACTGGAATTTATCATAAAAGAATTTGGAAAGGTAGGATTCCTGCCAAGATAAAGATTTTTTTTTCTGTGGCTCCTATTCAATGATGCTATTTTGACCAAAGAGAATTTGGAAAAAAGGAAATGGCAGGGCGATCCTCAATATGTTTTCTGTGATAAATTGGAAACTACTGATCATCTATTTTTCCAATGCCCGGTTGCTAAGGTTATTTAGTCAATTGTTGCTAAATGTTTTGGTGCTAACAATATCCCTGTGAATTTGCAACAATGTTGGCGTTGGTGTGAAATCTGGTTGCCTTTTGGCAGGAAATTTCATCCCTGGGGATTGGGGCAATCTGCTGGGTGATTTGGAAATGCAGGAATAAAGCAAGTTTTGAGAAAAAACTGATTACCAGTTCACTTGAGATAATCTGCCACGCTTGTGCGCTGATGATATATTGGGCAGGGCTCTACTCCGAGATGGACCAGGAACAGCTGGTGGAAGGCGCAAATGTAATGTTGAAAGTTGCTAAACAAATCCTGGCGGTCCAGATGGCGGGACAAGTGAACATGCTGCTGCTCCAGGATGGAGAAACCTCAACTCCGGATGAAGACGAAACCTGAATGAGTGAAGTCTGTGACTCAGCGGTTCTTTTGGGAACATCGATCTTTTAGGGACCCTGTTCGCATAGTTCTGTTGCGCGTTTGTTAACTGTTTTCTTTTGGCTGGCTGTTAGCATGTGTCGCTGGAGGTTGTGATCAGGTTAAACTCTTCTTTTGAGCTTGTCTGCTCAGTTCTGGTTCCAGGTTAGACAGCCTCTTTGGTTAGTTTGGTTTAGCCGTTGCTTAGGCTCCCTGTCGATGTCTGCATCATCAGGCTTTCCTGCCTCTCTTCTTTCTTTACCTAGGCCCAGTTTAGATGCAAATTTTTTTGCAAAATGAGCACCGGAGTATTTTCGTTGTTATTTGATAATTAGTGTCCAATCATAGTCTAATTAGGCAAAAAAAGATTAAATCTCGTGGATTTCGGTCTCCTCTGTGTAATTAGTTTATTTTTTATTTATATTTAATGATTCATGCATGTCCTTAAGATTCGATTGACTTAGAATCCCTGTTGATGTCTGCATGGAACTAAACAGGACCCTATCTGTATCCAAATGCTTTGTATTTCTGTTGGCTTAATGGAAATGGGGCACACCTCGTGTAAAAAAAAATACAACAGGCAAAAAGAAGCAGTTGTACTTTATATACTACTAGCACCACTAGTTTTTTCTTTCCCTGCTAGAAGGTTACACAGTAACCGTGCACCAAATCACCTGCAGTTAGCAGTGACAGCTTCTCTCAGAGACTCATCAGACTGCTGTCTGCTGAGGCCTTCACTGCCCATTGCCATCCAATTTGAGCTCCAGAGCAAGAACAGCTAGGATTGGGAGACGACAGATGACACGTATACCAAGGACATGTTTAGTTCCACTCTAAAATATCAAATTTTTCAAGATTTTTCGTCACATCGAATCTTTGGACGCATGCATGAAGCATTAAATATAAATAAAAAATAAAACTAATTAGACAGTTTAGACGAAATCCACGAGACGAATCTTTTAAGCCTAATTAGACTATAATTAGACACTATTTATCAAATAACAACGAAAATGATATAGTAGCATTTCGCCAAAAATTTCGGCATCCACAGTGCCCAAGTCAAAACCGAGCGTTAGCTCACCCGCGTGCAGAAAATGAGAGTGTGAGTGAGTGGCTGCTTCGACCTCGACCGAATCAACGCAAGCGCCCGGCCCCGGTCCCGGCCGGCGGCCGCCATGGACACTAGCGCCTGCGTGCGGCGCGGTGCCCTATGCCTCTACCGCTTCCTCCCGTTAACCTCCGTTGACCCGATCTCCGCCTCTGTCGTCTCGTTGGGCCGCTTCAGATCCTCCGCCTCCGCCTCCTCCTCGGCGTCGGCGCCTTCCCTGAACTTGGCGTAGATGTCGCCCTTGTAGAAGTTCCAGGTCCGCCACACCAGCACCAGCGACACGAGCGCGCCGGCGACGGTGGCGGCCGTGATGATGAGGAACGACTTGCGGAAGCACTCCACGCCGATGCAGGTCTTGTCGCCGGCGCCCGCCAGGGACCCGCCATGCTGCTTGGCGGCCTCGGCGTCGTAGAGCGCCCCCGCGACGCGGACGTTGAGCACGTAGGCGCCGATGGGGCTGGCCACGGACCCGAAGTTGTAGAGCGTGGAGTAGTACTTGAGCCCGAACACCTCGGAGATGATGGCGAACAGCAGCGGCCACTGCGCGCCGAAGCAGAAGCCGATCACGACGGAGGACACGTAGAGCGACTGCGGCACGCCGAAGGCGATCAGGAGGTGGCCGACGCAGGAGAGCAGGAGCACCAGCGTGAGCATCAGCGGACGCGGGAACTTGTACCGCGCCAGGAACACCTCCGACGCGAACCCGGCGGTGACGCGCCCGGCGTAGTTCCAGATGCTGATGAGGGAGACGAAGGTGTTGATGCTCTTGGACGGGTAGCCCAGCGACTGCCCGATCTGCCCCATGTTGTCGATCGCCGTCAGCGTGCCGCCCACGCCGCAGATGGTGGCCAGGAACAGCACCAGCATGTCCACGCTCACCAGCGCCTGCAGGATGGTGTAGTCCTCCCCCTGCGCCGGCGGGCTGAACATGTGCCGAAGGCAAGACCCCAGGCAGCTGCTGGAGCTGGACGACGGCCTCTCCCCGGACGACGACGGCTCGGCGGCCTCTGTTCCTGCCGTGATGCTCTGAGTCTGAGGTGCTGCTGCCGCCATCTGCAGCGAGGCTGCGGCAGCTGGTTTCTCCACGGTCACCGTGGGGGGCTCGCGGAGGGACTCCTCGAGCTCCTTCTGGATCTTGTACTCCTGCTTGACGACGACGGCGAGCGGCAGGAACAGGATGAGGAGCAGCGCGGCGGACGAGATCGCGAAGGCGGCGTGCGAGAAGTTGACCTGCCTCTGCACCACGATCATGATGAGGAGGTAGGCCGCGAGCGCGATGGAGATGTATAGGAAGCAGAAGAAGGCGTCGTTGCTGGTGGCCGCCGATGGTCCACGGCGTCGGCTGGCGCGCGGGTACGGCATGATGCGGACGGTGTGGACGAAGAGGACGGAGATGGCGGCGGGGAGCCAGGCAATGAGCAGCACGAGCGACTTGGCGTCGTCGCCGTAGATGGCTTGGTAGAGCTGCGTGAAGATGGCGCCGCTGAGTCCGACGAATCCCTTGAGCAGGCCGAGCACGACGCCACGGCTCTCCGGGAAGTTCTTGACGCAGGTGACGAGCGCGCCGGTGTTGGCGAAGGACTGGGAGTTGGACCCCACGCAGATGTAGATGCACATGAGCCAGACGGGGGGCCTGGCGGTGCGCCCGTCGATGGCGAGGTAGATCATGAGGTAGCCCGCCAGGTTCATGGCGGCGCCCATGGCGAGCACCACCCACGGCGGCGTGACCTCGTTGATGAGCCCCGAGATGACGCCCACGTTGGCGCCCAGGTCCTTGAAGAAGGAGAGCGTGTTGAGCGTGCGCTGGTCGTACCCCAGCGACGACTTGAGCACCTTGGAGTAGATGCTGAAGATGTACGTCGCCCCGGACGCCGACAGGATGAGCAGGCACGCGAACACCATGAACCAACGGCCCAGCACCACCTGCCGCACGAACCGCGCCGTCAGCACCTGCGGCCCGCCGCCGGCGCCGGACCCGGACGCGAACACCATCGCGCGCGCGCCAAACTGAAGCTCCTCCTCCTCCTCCTCCTCGTTGTCGGCGTCGGCGGCTCTCTGCTTTGCCGCTTCTCTGGCCGGGGTGAGTGGCAGAGCTCGCGCTCCTGTGCAATATATAAGCCAAAGGGGAAACGGCCAGCGCTGACTGTGACTCGCTGAGCAACGGGTGGATGGTGGTGGTGCAAGTACAAGACTTGTGTCCTTTTGTGTTGTGAGCTGTGACTGCCTGACTGGAGCAGAGTCAGAGCATCACTGCCCATACATACCACCGCCGTATTCGTTTGAGTGAGGAACGTATGGTTGACTGATTTATTATGAGAAAAATTCGGCCAATATTATTTTTTTTATGCCAAGGCCTTGTTTAATTGTAAAAAATATGATTTATAAGTCAAACTTTGTCCGATCATGGACAACTGCTCAAAAGATTTGTCTCGTGATTCCACAAATTCATCTTTTATCTACATTTAATGAATGATTCGTGTCCAATTTTAGAGAGGAAAAAACTTGGAATTTTGGTGCCTAGTGAGACTGAGAGTCTACACTACACGTGTTAAGCTCAAGATTCTCTCTCCAAGCAGATCTATTTTGTCGCCCACAAGTCACAGGCTATCCCAGAGCAGCCAGAGGTTAGTTTGTGTGGCCAAATTATTTGTCACCTCACTCCTCAAGTGTTGAACCGTGGACCATAAGTGCATTCCATGGTCCTCACTCCTCAGGGAGGATTACCGTGGACCATAAGTGTTGAACAGTGAAGACTTGCCTCTTCACTGTTCTGCCCTGGTCTTCAGGAAATGGATTACCGGAACAGACAGCTTGCCTGTATAAAACATGGGTGGGCAGCCATGGTTCTTGGACCCAAATTCTTGAAGACCCTCCCGCATGTGATGTGCTTCAGTTCTAGTCAGGGTCTCTGGTGTGCAGTTGTCATAGATTAATCACAGATCGATGCGTGCAGCGTGCTTCATCGAATCGACGACCTTGACCTGGGAGTTTACCGGGAGGATTTAAGAGGACTAGTGAGAGCGATCTCTGTTGACTAAACAGAGTGTGTGTGTGTGTGACTGAAGCGTTCACTGACGCTGATCTTGCCTCCTTGCTTATCCCAAACGGCACCCAATTCTAGAAGAAACAGACGTTTTTTCGTTACGTAGAAAATAGACAGCTTAAGCTGAGTTGGAAAGAACTCGAATATTGTATTAAGTTAGGCTCACTTAGTTATACCCCAAGAGATGGGATCGGCGTGTCAGTGAGGACATTTCCATGTTCTCCTTTGGTGGGTCAAACCAAGGCAGGAGGATTCTCCCTGTCCAATGAGGCACAAATTTTGCTTCCTTAGATTGGTGATCAAGACAATGTTTAGTCTGCGAAAGAAGTTGATAGAATGATAGGTAAAAGACGGGCTCCAGCCACTGCACAACTGTGCCACGTGGGGCGGATTAAGAAACCACAGAGATAATTACTAGTAGTAAGTAGTGTACTGATCGATCATGTGGTTAACCAAACAAAGTGGCCATGTGTCTGTAGTGTGATTAGCTCCTTCGTGTGAGAGCACCGAGGTCATTAACAACATATAAAATGTTGCAAACAAGTGATTGGAGTAAAAACAAAGTGTCAGCGTGTGTCCCCGTGCTTAGGAAACTGCCATGCCCATCCCTTTCCATGTCTCTGTGTACCGCTACCGTCTGGACTTCTGGAGCAAAATGCTGAGGCAGCCACTGCCTTGACAAGGAGGCACCAAGATTGTAGATATAATATAAAATTGATACGTGGCAGTTTGATTTAAAATAATGGAAACATGGTAGCAGGCAGGTATAGAAAATTTAGTTATGGAGGAAAGGCATCTGCCGCTTGCCGTCACAGCTCACAAAACTGTGTCTCTATGGTAGCGATAACGGCTAGTACTGACATTTACTACATCATGACAGTTGTTGACAATGTCTCCGTCAATCGAAAATTCATGTCCGTGCATTTAAGTCAAACTTATTTAACTTGATCGTTGTAATATCTAACTAAAATGTTACGTAATTTTTTTTTATCAAAACATGGTAATACAAAATTGGCATTGGCTAGAATTTATTATGAAAACCATTTACATTTAAGATAACATGTTTCTATAAAACTTCGAAAACTAAATACCTTTATAGTTCCAACGGTAAAAATTAAATAAGTTTAGCTTATGACAAATATTGATGAACTTATATTTGCTGTAGTAATATTATGCATCAAGTATTCAAGTGCGAGCATTTTTTTTGTCAAGGTTTGAAAATGCCCTGCTTGCGTCACTCATTTCTTGAAGGACGATATGATTTAAGACATTCTCAACCAAGAAAATAGGATGTTTTATCTGGCCATTAATTATAATACCAACTAAGAAAAATGGTGATGTTATATTATAATTAAGAAAAATAGAGAAGAAATTTGTTTTTTATATAAGAAACTATGTCCACCCGAAAACAAAGTTTGAAATATATGTGATAACTAGATGATAGGAGATAAAAAAAAACAGGGTGTTTCGACAAAAATCTATTTTGAACAAACCATCCATTAGGAATATGATTTCTTTGTATAGTATCTATATAACTTGGCAAGTATGAAAACTATCTTATAGTTTCTGCTTTGGAACTAACTTAGAATATGTAAAAATTCAAAAGTTCTGTAAATCTTCGACTCAGTAATAACTAGCAAGAGACCAAAAAGAACTAGTAAGTGATGCAAGAAGAAAAGTATGATAGGATGCTTTTGGGCTCTATATCCAGAAGTCCCTTGTCAAATCAAATAATTTTAATTCCCTTTTAATTTCTATGCCACCTAGGCTATGAATCTACTCCCTCCGTCCTAGTACATGAGGCGTAACCGCCTGTGGTTCAAAGACAAAAAAAAATGTATTTTAATTCCCTCTCTCAACGTATTACTGCATCGATGATACAATGCACAGTTTGCTACTAATTGTTTCCATAAGATGCGGTATCTGTTAGACATATTTTGCCAATTCAAGAGATGTGTCCCCTTCCGATCCATAGATAACTATCTTATTTATAAAAATATAATTTTATAGTCTTCTAAAAATTATTTATGTTTATAGTTGCTTTATGGTAAATTAGCTCCTTGCTGTTTGATTTAACTATTTAAGCCAAACACACTTAAAATAAAAGAACAGTGTAAACAAAAGCACATTTCTTGGGCTTGATTTTTTGGGTTTTTTTTTGCGATTATTTCTTGGGCTTGGTTGATCACCCCAAACAAAAGCATAAAAAGGTCTATGATTCACTTAACTTCAAAACAAAAATATAAGTCTTATAGGTTACGATCGCTGGGATCGGAATGCGATGATGATGACAACATTGTAAAATGAAGTTAGAGAGTAAAAAGTGGAAGCAGGGGATAAATAAAAGTAGAGCCATAGCTAAGACAACCAATACTATAATAGAGTATTTGGTTTGGAGAATCAACCCATTCTTTTTTTGAAACTGAATCAACCCATTCTAGATGAGGTGATACATCATGAGCCCACCTCTCAAATTTAGTGGAATAATTTCATTTCTTATTCTAGTAGTAATTATTGGTTTGTGAGGACTGAGGCGGTGGTGATGAATATATCAATTGCTTCCATTCCACAAGCAAAAAAAAAGGAACAATGAGATAATTATGATGGACTACTTCGTTCCACAAACCAAACACCACCTAAGTGTTCAAATTTTGGCCGTGCTTGTGTCCTTTTCTAGCGCGTATTATTCTCTATGCTACCTTTCGACTCAAATCAAAATAACCCATAATTCAAATCTACAAACTTTTAACCGAAGTTTTTGATATAAGGTCAAATTTGAAAATTTTGGATGCAATATTCCTAACTTAAAAAATGAACATATACACTTGATCACTTGAAGATGCCCAATTATTTATTATTTTATTTTATTAAAAATAAGTATAAACATAGACATCGACTAGACTACACATTTTTATAAAAACAAAAGTGCACTCTACCTTTAAGTGACTAAGGGGCCATTTGGAAGGGTTTCTAGGGGCTCTAGCTCCTCCAACTCATGGGTTGTTCATGGTACTGTCCACCAAAACCGTTTCTTTATCTTCTCCAAATGAACTAGGAACCGGGAGGAGCCACAGTTTTTTGCTCCTCCGGCTCTGGCTCCGGTTCCTTGGCTACAGCACGGAGCCGGAGCTAGTTGGAGCCCAGCCAACGAGCCCTAAGTTGGTCATACAAACGTCTATGCCAATTTCACCACGATGAACCTAAGACTACAAGGTTGATGTCTAACTCTGAGATAAGTAAGTGACAAAAATGTGAGGAAAGGTCGTATAACCATACGAAAAATATATTCTATCATGGACGATTACAATATCCACGTTAGCAAAGTGTTCCTTGTTAATGAGCACACTACACGTGTTTATGCACGCATGGCATGTCACACTCACCTCGTGTTAGCTTTACTCTTAACCCAATATAATAACCCCACGTCAGCACTCGAGAGTAATGTCCCGGTCTCCCGGATAAGCATATCTTGCTCGCGTGCTTGACTTGCATCGTCCACTCATTGCATGCTGCTTTCACGCTTCGTTCATAAGCATGCATATATATACATCTCGAATTCGGCACATTCAAAAGGCTGTTCTACTTGTTCTTCTTTTGGGGCCATGAAATTGGCAGAGATGCATGTCCGTTTCACCGCAACGTGCGTGCCCATTCTGCAAAAGTGAAGGAAACCATGCCGATTGCCAAACCTTTGGTCTGCGCTTGGCAGCACCATGGGGTTGCTTTTCCCCCTTCCTCTTGTCTGCTGCATATATGCAACACATGCTATGGTCCTAGTTCTTTAACCTCCACATTACCCCATATGTTATACAATACTCTTACCAATTTTATTTTATCCTTTTTATACTACCATATGGTCATGCTTGTGAACGAACAGAACAAAGGTAATACTTCTAACTTTCTCCTATCACAAATATAAGTTTATCTAAATCTGTCTTTAAGGCAACTTTCCAAGTTTGACTACCAATGTATATAAAAAATGATTATATTACCTTAAACGAGAATAGTTATATAAGTTGTCAATAATCTTGTGGTAATTTAAAATTTTAGATATTAGCCGCCAAATTTAACAAATACTGCCCCCTGTCCTGTATATACCTATTTAGGCCATGTTCGCTTCCTGGGGAATGGCCTCCAGGAATAGTTCTAGCTGGATCTTTAGTTTATAATTGTATAAGATTCCATCAGCTGAATGAATCAGGAAAATCCTTTTCAAATAAAATCTTTCCCTTTGAAAATGTACCAAAAATGAAAGTTGCTTAGAATTTAATTCTCTACAACTTTGCTTTTAGAGCCCTTTCTAAGGAGTTTCTCCTTAAATTATGGTTTCCTTTTTAACAAACTTTACCAAATATGATTATGGATAATAAGACATAAAATGCATTATATTTCGGTATAGATTTTAAAGCCACAACACATTATATTTCAGAAAGGAGGGACTACAGACCTAGACGGATATATATTCCCTGTCCGAGGATGTAATAAAAGCTAGGAAACGAGCACTGCATGGTATTTGACCGCTTTCCCATAGATAGATAATAAACTAAATAAAACGAGACGATAATCATCGTCATAAAAAACGTAATTTTCAGGATGATGTAGAGAGGTTCCATATTAGCCAGCTGCCACGCACTTTGAGCTGAAAAAATTCAGCGCACGATCGAGTCGGCACGCCAAACAAACAGGGTGAACACGGCTTCGCCAAACGTGCGAACGGAGTAGAGGCGGCGGCTAGGCACCAAGCGTTTTACAACAGCTAGCTGACAAGGAGATGCATGGGCAATTGGGCATTCGCGGGCGCAGCAAGAGCACGAGGGGACGAAAGCAAAATGGAGATTCTCCCCCGTTCCGTTTGTGCTGTGCGTCGCAAGCTAGCTAGCGCCCCACTGAAATCGATCCTTTTCAACTTCCACTCTGTAGAAATCTTCGTCTTGTGTTTGGTTTTGGTTTCGAGGGTAATCAGTCAGTCATGGCCACAATCTTGGAGGACAGTGATGCCTAATTGCGATTTGCAGATGGTTTCCTATTTAACGAGATTATGAAATCAAGCCTGTTCGTTTAAAAGCTAGGAAACGAGCTCTGCATGGTGAAATAAACGATCGTCATAAAAAAACGTAATTTCAGGATGGAGGTAGAGGTTCCATTTAGCCAGCTGCCACTCACTTAATGTGAAAAAATTCAGCGCACGATCGAGTCGGCACGCCAAACAAACAGGGTGAACACGGCTTCGCCAAACGTGCGAACGGAGTAGAGGCGGCGGCTAGGCACCAAGCGTTTGACAACAGCTAGCTGACAAGGAGATGCATTTGGGCATGCGCTTATAATCCACGAGGGACGAAAGCAAATGAATTCTCCCTCGTTCCGATTCGTTTCGCGCAAGCGATGAAGATCATCAGACTGGTGGTGGAAATGATGCACAACACTCTGACAGGCAGGCAGGCAGGCAGAATATAATATAAGGATCATAGAATATCCCTTTTTGGCGCCATCTTGCAACGTGTCTCTCCAAGACTCACTCCCAAGCAGTATTGCTCTGGAAAGAGTTCAACTTCAGACCCGTTTAGCACAGTTCCAGTTCTAGCTTCGAGATCTAAAGATTTTCTAAATCTCTCGATGTGTCTTTAGCTTCAGATCTAAGATTTTCTAAAGCTCTAAATACGCAGCTCCAAAAAAATCCACAGAGCTCTCCAAAAGGACCGATCCATGGTTATAGGATCTATCTAGCTATGGCAAAAGACGTGGCTGTTATTGTATCATGTAACAAAAGAGGATAAGTGCTTTCATGATCAGAAAAAAGCGATGTATCGGCAGTAGGATCTCATCTCATGTCCAATGCATATGCATAGGCCCTGCTTCAGATCCAGGACAAGAAGTGGGAACCAGATGAAAGGCGAGAGCGATGGAGCTCTGCAGGTCCCGTCTCACCAGCTGAACAGTCTGTGGAAGCACTCTGCAAAGCAGCAGAAAAAAGGCAGCGCTACCAGAAGTCTGCATAAAACAAGCACTCGCGCAGATGCTCCTCAGCTCAGTCCAGAGAAGAATAGAAAGCCATGGATTTGAGACAGGTGATCGGCCTAACCGGTGACCAGATTCACAGTAATAGCAGGTCTCTGTCCGAATGTCATCCCTGTATGGCAATTGGCAACAGCTTGACCAGCTACAGGCTCTGGCTGCTGTGAGCTTCTAGACAACGTTCACACTTGGGACAGCATCAGATGATTACCTGAAGCTGATGACCCGACAGCGTCAGCGTGTAACTGTTAGTGATCGGATTGAACAGTATGCTCAACGAAACAGGGCTGCCCAGCATTTGCAGAAACGCACTGTGTTTCCTTCACTTATTGAGAGGTCACAAGCAATCTATCTATAACACAAGATGTGAAACCTGGAACGGTTCAGGTTCAGGTACAGAACACGTTGCAGCGATAGGGCTGGAGGCTTGGAACGGCCTTCAGAAACGAGTACTGACGGTGGGCGGTGGGTGGACTGCAGGGCGCCGCTGTCAGGTGTCGGCAACAGCCCTGCTTCAAGACTCGCCATCAGAAATTTGAGGTGTCTTCTACTTCTATGGCCTCAGGTTGAGCCTTGCGTGCTTGAAGAAGACGTAGAAGAGGACGGCCGACGACACGAAGAGGCTCAGGAGCACCACCCAGATCTGCCACACTGCACAACAGCACAAGTGGATAGAGCAAGCAGCAAGGCCCGTTTGCAGAGATACGACCACACAGACAGACAGACACGTACCTTTCCATTCGGGAGGGACGTCAAGTTTTGTTATCTCTGCTCCCCATTGATGTGAGGTGGAGATTACAACTCTACAATATCAGAAGACAGTGTCATAATAATGCATGTATCATATCACCAGTGCAAGGAGGAGGATCACGCAAAAGCCAGACATGTTGAGTTTGGGTAGCTGTGGAAGTGTGGATGGATGGATGTGGTCATGTGGATGACAAATTTTTGCTTGTCCCATTGGAAAACCCTGGCGTATTTATGGTGGACATGAATGAATATGCAAAGTAGTCCTATATCGTGAGTTCGTAGCCTATTTATTATATATACTTTTCATCCTATTTAGACAGCAGAGGGCCTAATGACGAATCCTGTCGGAATGCAGGATTGACTACTCTTTCAAGGTTCCCTTCCCTGTGCTACACAACAAGACAGCTTCTGTCCTGGTCTCCTGGATATATCTACTAATAAGTAATAAGGTGCTTAGTAATGCTAACCTATCAGTTTGTCTCTTCCTTTTTGCAACAAAGAGAAAGATTACCTTTCAGTAGGACAAAATTCAATGGAGGAAACTGGGAAGCCAAGATGAACCTTCTTGCTCCAGTGAGCAACCTCCATCTTCTTTATTTCCATGGCGCAAAAGTCACCGTCACGATTTCCTCTGAAAACAGGGTGAAAATTATATCCATATTAATAGCACCTCACATAAAAAGGAAAATCAAACCCTGGTTGTCAAATATTGACAGATTCAGACTACAATATAAATGTCAATTTTTAAAGGCTTGTAACTGGGATCGTTAGTGGATAAGCTCCTTTTCGAAAGAAGGAAACAGAACAGGTATTTTGAGATTTCAATAAAATCAATTCGTTAAGAGCCTGGTAGTAGAATAACTATGATCCGTTGACTATCTAATTCTTTCTTCAGTCGATTGGACGCGCTTCAGGTTATGTGGTCACTATTTATCTGCAAAGGTTGCATGTTCGTAAATTTTCAGAAATACACAGCTACACAGATACTTTCATCCACTGTTTATCATAATATACATAAAATTTGTAATAACGCAAATAATGTTTTCAGCTCAGCAAAGTATACAACAAGGACAGTTGACGCCTTCATGCAAACAAATATGAACAAATTGCTTAAATTCTAGGAACATAAAACTATTTTGAGTACTTTCAAAATTTCCAAATACAGGTGTTCCTAGTAGAAAAGGAAAAGCGCTAGACAGAAATGTATTTGCAGACTCAACTCAACAACCGGCATCTCATCCACTTACAGTGCAAGATATTTCCCGTCCAAGCTAATTGCGAGTGTGGAAATGGGCTTTGTTGAAATTCTTTTGTAACCAATTCTCTTCCAATTACTTATGTCCACAGCCATAGTCCAAACATCACGACCTATTTAAGAGACAAAAACTGAACTATAGCTGGCTGCTGGTGCACTTCTTTAAATTCATTCAAAGGATTACCTTTTACAAGTGTGCAAAACAGGAAAGGTTTGGCTCCATCCCTAGAAAAGCGACAGTACTCAATCTTCTCATCCTGTAAATAAACAGAAGGAAAGAGAAGATCAGACGAACAATTCAGTTCAACTATCATGACAGGCTATTACGGCAAATTATCATACTGTACCGAAGATCTTGTCAAATTGATTAGTGGAGCCCCCTCATCAATGTTCCATATTCTTGCAGAGCCATCAATGGATGATGAAACTAAAAACTTTGAGTCTAAGCTACATGAGAAGAGGACAAGCACTGTATCAAGATCTAAGGTTAAAGAAATGAATTTAGGCTCTTTGGCTTGCAAAAAATTAACCAATGTGTAGTAACCCTCTCTTTTAAGCAAGGAATTTTAAGACAGGGTATATTAAAACTACCATGATACTAGGCAGCTAGAAGGTTTGCTATGTGCATTGTACCAGACTGAATCCTATATATCTGAGTAAGTAGCCAACACAAAGCATGGGGTAATAAATTAAAATAATGCATGCATCAATTCAGCAGGAAATAGGGATTTTTTTTTATGTAATAGCAACAGAAGCTTGCTTCCCCATTTCTTTTACCTGATGTCCATGTCACGGAAGGATTTGTGAGCTTTAGGTTCGTCCAAAATCACATTGAGACTTGGCCAATGAAATATTCTGAGACGTCCATCCTGTCATCGTGAAATAGGCTAGTAAATTGTAGATGTAACATTCAAAATTTTAGTACACCATATAACAAAAAAAAACTGTACTTCATCAGTTTAAAGTATGTCATAACTCTTGAACAAAACTTATTTCGAAAATTACCACCATATGGATGATCAATACTTCAAATAAAAATGTAACTCATATCATATCGTTAATACAGTAAAAAAAAGTTTAACTAATTGAAAATTGGAATTACAAGAAAGGATGAGCTCATACCTCACCACCAACAGCAAACTTAGCACCATCAGTGCTGAATGCTAAACATTTTTGAGGCCCAACAGATTGGAGAGGTGAAGCATCTCTTGAAATAAGGTGAATACCGAAGTCTTTATAAACCAGATTAAATACCCTACAAAAGTAACAAAAGATAGTATAATAAATTATTTTATAGTATGAAAAAGAGTCAAACCAACGAAAAGAAGTGATCCACATATAGAAAACAAAGGGCTATTTCTGATATTACAAGGAGTGCATATTTCTGATATTACAGGGAGTGCAGCTAGATACATGCTTCAAAACGTTCTGCATTACAAACCTGAAGAATGTGTAATTCAGCATAGGGGAAAACAACTTCAAACTACCAGTGAAGTTCAGGCAGGCAGGCAGGCAGGCAGGCATGAGGTGACAATTCAATCCTTCACATACGAACCAAATCAACCCAGCAATGTCTAAGGCATATGCAAATTTCAAGTACTGTATAAATTTGTTGATTTGTTACTGACAAAGTTTATCAGCAACTTAGCATCTAAAAATAAAAATTCGAACTAGAATTCTAGCATCAACAAGGAAACACAGCCCACCTGCAGCCTTTGGCGGTTGTGCAGACGAGCTCCCGGCCGCCGGGGTGCACGGCGATCGCGCGCGGCGTGTCCGCTGCCTCCTCGCCCACGGTGACCCTCGCCTGCAAAACCACAAGCAAAGCAAGCGCACGCGCATGCATAAGCTCAGTTCGCGATCAGGCCGGCGCCGGCCTTCCAGGGTGCCCTGCACGGGGGAAGCACTCACCAGGGGCTCGGTCTCGGAGGCGAGTGCGGATGCCTTGGCGTCGAACTCGAGGACGTCGACGAGCGGCGGGGACGAGGTCGTGGCCCCGCGGCCGAACGCCACGAGGAGGCGGGAGACGCCGGGTGGCCAGCCGTCATCGTCCCGCCGCCGTATCCACGCCGCGCAGGCCACCTTCCCGACCGCACCCTCGCCGCCGTTCCCCGCCATAGGACTGACTGGTGGGCGATGGCCTTGGTGCGGTTCCGCAGCTCTGCTCTGCTTGCGTTGGCGGCTTGGCTTGGCGCTTGCTTCTTTGTAGGGAGGAGACTGCAGACGAGACGAGGGAGGCGGGCGGCCGCCACGGCGCGAGGCGTTGGACGCCAGGGCGGAGTGCGCCACGGAATCGCCGCCAGCATCCAGTGGATATGCTCGGGCCGGCTGCGCGCGGCGCGCCTGCATCTGCATGCGATGCGATGGCGCAAGCTGACGGTTCGTGCATTGTGCGAATCGGCCGGCCGCGCACGCGTCAGCCTGGCACGTCGCGCCGTCGCTGCCTTCCCGGCTTAAGCGCATGGCATGGCAGGCAATTCTCTGGCGTTATTGTGGTTTCGTTGTTTTACCCCATCTGGCCGGGGTCGAGTACAAATCAGCAGATTTCCTGTCTGATTTGCTTTTAAAAGGAAAAAAAAAACTACGGTGGAGCAGCAAATTAAGAACATATCGATCCCAACCTTTGTCCACCTCCCTCGCTTCCCTCCTCGCGTTCCTTCTTCCGTTCGCCGCCGACACCGCGTGCGCTCTGCGCTCGTTCTCTCTCTCTCCCTCCCTCCCTCCCTCTCTGTCTGCGAGACTGGCTGAGCTACCGCCGCCGCCGCCCTACCCAGGTGATGAGGCCTTTGCCTACCTCTTCGCCGGCGATGAGCGCCCACCAGGTATTCCCACCCCTTTTCTCTTTCCTGTTTGCTGTGCGAAACCGAGTTCTCGATTTTTTTTTTAAAAAAATTGAGTTCTCGAACTCTAACCTAAAACTATTTGGCTATTTGATGCCTACTAACTTCTAACTTTTTGCAAAAATTATTTGGTGTATTAATGTGTACACCCATGTCCCTTTACTAGATCCGCCCCTGTTGGCACTTAAGACTGAACAGGCTGTTTTGACAATATTGTTATTGTTCTGGTTTATCAAATGCAAATAACTGAATAACGGTGAAAAATTAGTGGTTTAGCTACCTTTAGAGATGAGCTGGAGTGATGTTGTTTGGAGCTGCTCATGTAAGCTTGCTGAGACTGAGAGTAATTTTGACGCTCGTACTGATATGTTTCATGGCGTGTATTTGCACATGTACATCCAAAAGAACAAGAAAATACATTCATATCTGGTATCATTTTGTTAGAATTGGAGGGTTCCTTCCATTTCTTCTGCCATGTTTTGTGTGCCTTCATATCTGATATCAGCAATTCAGCATGTCTTCCTTTACCTTTGAAAGATTACTTCTCTGATATTTTTTGATAGCTTCCCTGTCATTTTGACTCGCAATCAATCACCCAACTGCATAAGAACTTTAGGAGTTGTTGAAGTTAATCAGTATTGGTTAACTTGTTTTTTTTTCTGGCTTAAGTCTTTTCATGTTTCTGTTTAACTTGGTCTTTTAGGAAAAAGAAAATATCTTAAATTCAGTGGAATTTAGGATGCTTAGTCGTATTGATTGGCTTTAGATATGGCACAAGCAGGAACCATTTGCTTTATCCAGTATCCACAGCCATACGCTTTTGTTGCATTTCTTCTGATGGAATACAATTTTGTTTGCCAGGCTGACCCAGAGTAGGAAGCTATCAGGCAGAGGAGGATGCAAGAACTAATGGCACAGCGTGGTGGGGTAAGATACCAAACTCCATGACATAAATTGAAGCTGTCACATGTAGATCTCCTTGCTACCGCAAGTGCATGTTTGGGTGCTCCTTAGTTTACTTACTTTTGATCTAATGTTAACTTTTAATTAGGCAAATCAGCAGAATGCGGGCCAACAAAAAGCTCAGGAAGATGCGAAACAGTATGGTTCATTCCCCCACCATCTTCTCATGCTATAGCTCATCATCTCAAGCTATGTTCTGTGGAACCTAGGGAATACTGAATTGTCTTTGAATCTAACTCTCCATCAGGGAAGCTGAGGAACACCGACAGATGATGCTTGCTCAGATATTATCTTCTGAAGCCAGAGAAAGGCGTAAGTTCTTGTTATCGAAGTCATGTATATATGTGCTTAATGCATTTTTTTAAATCATTTACATTCAGATGGCTGATGCATCTTTTAGTGAGTTGTTTCCTCCATTGCATGGAAACTGTTATGTGCTTTTAGGGAGCTCTACGAGTCTACCTGCAAAAGTTGGATGAAATACTTTACAGAATTTCTTTTGTTATATGCAATTATTGGAGTCTGTTAATTTCTCTCTTCTGAATTTTAGTTTCTGTCCTTTGGTAGTAGAATGTTTAGGGTGAGTTCAGCAGCGATATGTGGTTAGGGTCCCTGCCCAATTCTGTGTTACCTCAAATCATGCTGTCATGGTTTCCAGTCGAAGCAAAGTCACTTAGATTGTAATTGTGCTGCTACAATGTAAGCTGTTGTTCCCTGTGAATGCTGTTATTTGCTTTTCATAAAGCAGGCCAGAAGCCTTTGGTGTGAGACTGTTAAGTGTTTCAGCAGTTGTGTGCTGACCCAATGGGTTTATATATTCCTGAAAAGAACAGGACAGGTGCTCTGTCCACATAGTTACAATTGGAGATCACCAGTATTCTTTCATGAATCATTGCATAATTTTCCTCATCATATATAGATATAGCAACAAATTAAGAAAAAAATGCATATTGGGAATATAAGCTAGGTGTTGAGCATAGAATTTTATTGATGATGTTTGCTATTTCAAACAACTTACTCTTCTGATTCATTAGAAGAGATGGTTGATATGGTCTTTATTTAGTAAAATCTTCTATGCTGTTTATGTTTGTGTGACTAGCGATGTGGTCTAAGATGAAAATATCTCTAATCTTGAGCAACCGGCGCAAATACTAGAAGGGCTACACTGATCAAAATACTTCATATAAACATTTAAAGTAATTGTATCTGGGTGACATCAATATACGAATAAAATGAAAAATACTAATCATGTTGAAGTTCAATTTGTTTGTTGATGTTTGGTTGTAGTTGATCATGACATATTTTGCTTGAATGAATAATTTAGGTTTCTCCAGAGGATTAGAATAGCTATTGTTGTTCCAGAAGTTGATGCCTGTTACTGGATATGTTTGTAAATCTGCTAAGTAAAGTGTAAACGGTTGAGGTTTAGGGTTTAGGGAGCAACCCCTGAATTAGGAGAATCAAAGAACCAAGGTAACAAGGCCCATTTGTACTACATACCCTGGAATTCATGGAGTACGTCAAAATACCGCTGCAAGTAAGCGAAAAGCTCACATCAGGTTTAGGAATAATTTACATAGCCTAAAACACGTCACAAAAAGTTGAGAACACTGGGCAATGATTGTTGTTGTATCCGAACAAAAAATGCCCCTTACACACAGTAGCCAAACAATTCACACAGCATCAAGTCAAGTCCTCCACTCCGAGCCTGTCGACCCGGATGTAACACCCCGGTGTTATGCCTACATTTAGGCACTGCAAATCACGCATATCATGCATCCAAATCATACATGCTTAATCGTGTGAATAACAATTGAAACATTGCTTTGAAACATCTGAAACATGCGTGAAACCTAGATGTTGCATACACCTGTTTAAGGATTGTTTTACCCTAAATTTTTCTTGCTAGGTTAGCAAAACATGTTTGGCTACTATTGTAAATCATCTAGCAATGTTTAGTTCAATTTTTGGAGCAATGTTTGTATTCAAATTAATTCAAAATTTGGCTTCAAAAATAAATTCCAAAAATTAGGGTTTTGAGCTAAACGTGGACTTTGATCTTACAATTCAAAATCTAGAAAGAATTTGGCTGTGGTCTTAAAAGCAAAGTTGTAGACAATTAAATTCTAAGCAACTTTCATTTTGGTACATTTTCAAAAGAGGTCATCTTCTTGCTCAAAATAAGATTTGAAAGCTGGCTTTTAAAAAGTTCTTGAAAATATAAATGAAAAAGAGTTTTTCTCCTTCGCGGGCCGCCGCCTCTTTCTGCCCACCAAGACAAAGGCCCGCCCTGCCCAGCGCCGTTCAACCCACCTCGCCTCGGCCCACCAGTAGTGGCTGGCTCTTCTCCCAGCCCACGCCCGTCGGCTGCACTTACGCCGCATGCGCATGACCGCCTCAGAAGCTCTCGCCGTGTGGCGACCACGTGCCAGCGTCGCCCGCCATGGCCGGCTGCTGACTGTTCGACGCCACCACGCCGCCCGCCTTCACTGCTGGTGCCCACGCTCGCTCACTCTCGCCTGCGTTCCTCTTCTCCCCTCCAGAGCCGAGAGCCTCCCGCTCTGCCCTCATACCTTGCCTGCAGCTCATGCGTGGCGATTTCCTCCTCCTCCTCGCCTCATTCTCCGATTCCTAGCGCCAAAGAACTCCGCCTCACTCTCCGACACACACGGTGTGCTCGCGGTTGTGCCGTCGTTTGAGCCAAGGTAGTGCTTGTTCCAAGTTTCGCCGCCGTCGGCCATGGCGCCACCTTGCTCGGCCGCCGTGGAACGTCCCCTTCCTCCCCTTCTCAGCCATGCTTAGCTGCTTGCCCGCATTCTCCATTGCCTCGCGAACCTCCTGCGCTCGCTCGCTTGCCCTGGCCCGGCCGATAATGGCGGCCGACATTGGCCGAACCCAGCGTCCATCCTTCACATGTGACCGTGAAGTCTTCGCCTTCCGCCCGACCAGTAGGGCCGGCCGTAAAGGCAAAGGCCGTGGGCGAAGCCACTGCCAGTCCGCCAGCGCTCCTCCTTTAAGCTCGGGCAGCGCGCAGGCAAAAACGGCCAGATGGGCCATTGTTTCAATGAGCCGGGCCCAAGTGTTTAAATGAATTGTTTTTCATTTACTCTTTATTATTTGAAATTTGAAATGGTTTGAAAAATGTTTGGGTACTCAAATTTGCTCCAAATTTGTTGAAACAAATTTTTCTAGGTTCCTTATCAGCAGATCTACTTGGAAAAAATTGTGCATGTCATTTTTGAGATACTTTGCTGTAGAATTTTATTTAATCTTGAATATTGCTGATAACTTGAAAAATATGTAGAAAATTCTATAGGCTTCAGAAAAATATGATTCCAAGTTTGTTAATCTTCTTATGTCATGTACTTCCTAGGAAAAATATGTTTCATGCATGTGCTGTGGGAAAATTTTGAGATGTAGTTCAAGTACCTTTAATGGCTGATTTTTGTTATTTTTGCTAGAGCACAAATTTTGTATAAAACATGCATGTGACAATTTTGTACAGTGATTATATACTATAAAGAACATAGGAAAAATACTCAATCTGTTGTTTGACACTTTTCATAGTACAAAAGTAATTTCATGCTCATTTTTATGCTATAGCTTGTCATTTTATGTAGGATAGTTTACTTATCCAAATGCCATGAAATTTTTATGGTAGTCCATTTAGGGTAGTATTATGCTACTGTATTTTCTCAGATTTTTAGGAGCATCAGAAATATATGTTGCTATTCAAACCTATTATTAATTAGGGTTTAAGCAAGTGTTGCCTTAAGTGTGATTAAGAAATTAGTAAAGCTTTGGTGTATCTTTGAAGCAATTAATAAAATATGTTGACTTAACATATTGGTAGTAGAAGAGAATGCAGATAGATGACATGTGCTTGTAGCATAGTTTCTTGGATGATGTTGACTACCTTGCATTTAAACATATCCATTGCATTCATCTCCTTCGATGCACCGTTTGCATAATCACTTACGCGCATTGCATCATACAGGATCGCAAACCGAGAACCCAGTCGTCATTCCCGAGGAGCCCGAGGAGCGATTCGAGTGCAAAGAAAGAGGAAAGTGCCGAAGCCCGACGAGGAGGACGTTGAAGAACTCCCGAGTGCCCCGATCACCGCCTCGAAAGCTCCTTCGAGAGAGGCAAGCCCCGAGCATCTTTCTCCCGATTTGCAATGATTTCATTAAATGCTTTACTTTAAATTGATGCATTACGTTCAGGGAGTTGTTTGCAACCGTTCTTTGCATTATACCTTGTTTACCTTTGTTATACTATATCCTTGTTACCACAGTATCCGCAATCGAGTCAATGCTTAGTCGGCTTAGACCGGTAGAAGTCGGTGATTTCCTGCCACCTGCGAGCTATAGGTGGTTACACGGATCTGCTTGGATGGCTATGAAGTCATGGTATAACTAAGTGTTAAATGAAGTTGAGATCGGGCGGAGACTTGCGAGTTTTGGACCGTAGTGTTTCCGTCAGTAGTCGATTAAGGACCCGACCGTTGTTGGGCCTCGAGTCATGTTGAACGCATGCCTTACATTTAGGCGGGCGGATAAAGTACCTTCCGACCGCTGAAGCTGGGAGATTTTTCGGGCGAGTAGATTGCCCATGACGCCTTGTGTGCGGTGTGTGTGGTAGGACACGGGCGGGATGATAAGACCAAAGTGCGATCGGTCGGCCCCGGTACATGTGGTTCTGGCAAACTCGAGATACACGAAAAGTTGACTCGGTGATCAATATCTCACTTTAGCGGGTGAGTGAGATTTGTGTAAGGAATAAATCACCAGCTGGTTAGGAATCGATTCGAATCGCCATCACTCCTGGATAGTGAGCACTTAACTTGAGTGACTTCATCGTAGTAAATGTTTATGGAACACTTGGACAGTTATAGTGAATATGACAGTATGGAAGTTGTTTAATGATCAGTGGTTATCATTAATTGCTTAATCACATGTTTACTCTAGTATAGGTGCAAATCTAGTCGACAGGTTAATACTAATTAACTTGACAATAATGCTTTTAGAAAGGTTCTTAAAATGCTACAAATGCTTCTTTTGCAAATGAGTCAGCTACCCTATTATAAAGCCTTCATAATCCTTGGAGTCATTTATTTTCGGTTATGTCGGGTAAGTCTAGCTGAGTACCTTCTCGTACTCAGGGTTTTATTCCCACTTGTTGCAGATGGACAGATGTATTACGGCTATTGTATCAACTGCCTTTATCCTGCGATGGGTGATGCTTAGGACCATGGGCATGGTCATTCCTTACGTCTTGTCTAATGCTTTTGTTGGAGATGATCATTCGCTGGCACTATATTTGAACTCCGCGTGAGTGTGTGTGATTTGAACAAATGGCTTCCGCTACTTTTATTCGAACGGGTTTGTAATAACTATGTTTAAACTCTGATGTATCTGAGATTGCAAACTTTTATGTAATATGTGATGGTGACCGCTAAACTTATTACGATCTTGGCTGGAATGGAAGTTGGTTTGAAATCCTTCGCGATTTCACGGACTACCGGGTTATACGGGCTTAAGTTTGCTAAATCGTCTGCTCTGGCGGATGATTTTCTTATTTAATTTCGTATAATTGGTCGGTTCTGTTATACCGGACCCGGCCTCGTTTGTTTGTGTGGTCGAGTTCTTCAGTTCTGGTATGTGATGTGGCATGTTTTTTGCAACTTTAGTTGCGTTGCTTGCGACAAAATGACATGCCATGTACAGCGCGCTATGGATCCGTCATCCATTAAGTGGTGGAGATTGGCATAAACTTGCTTATGTTGCATACTAACATCGGGCCTTGCACGTGGAGCAATGAGAGAGATGATAACCATGTGCATGTGGTAGAGCACAGGCACATCTCAGGCTCCATTGTAGGGCCCCCTCTCATTACATAATTACTCTACTCCCTGATTGTGGTGATTTGGACCTTGAGTGGCGCACATTGTCTTTCGATCCTAGGTGACACATGGGACAAGTTTAAGGACCACCAGTACATTTTACTCTTGTCATGGAACCATATATGTCTGGGGGAGATGCCTGTGAGGCTTCTGTGTGCCTTGCCTGATGCATGGTACGCTAATGTTGCCTCCCGTGCCTTGAGTGATGATATGATAGTGCTGTCTTATGATGATATGCTAATGTTGTCTTCTGCTCTGGTGATGTCAGCATTGGTTTGTGATAGTTCTCGAGCTCACATCACCAGATGTTTTTATCTAGCGTTGTTGGTAATCTGGTATAGTTGTGCCTGGAACTCCGGCAGCTGCGTCCCACTTAATTAGGATTGTCGTTTGACTGACAACGCTGACCTTTTGCGTTGGTGTTGGATCCAAGCCCCTGTTATGGGCACGCTGAGGACTTGACTTGATGCTGTGTGAATTGTTTGGCTACTGTATGTAAGGGGCATTTTTTGTTCGGATACAACAACAATCATTGCCCAGTGTTCTTAACTTTTTGTGACGTGTTTTAGGCTATGTAAATTATTCCTAAACCTGATATGAGCTTTTCCCCCGTATTTTGACGTACTCCATGAATTCTAGTACAAATGGGCCTTGTTACCTTGGTTCTTTGATTCTCCTAATTCAGGGGTTGCTCTTTGTCTTGAATGGGGTGATTTGTCTCGCTGGTATTGTACTGATCTAAAACTGTTCTCCGATGAACCCTGTTTTCAAAACTGAAGCTACCAAAAGCACTTTACGGAGTGTAGTAATTTTGCACTCCCTTTTATTTTGTTTTTTTTTCTAGATATTACTAAGTACTTAGATATACACCATGTCCAGATTAATAGTAAAAGAAACATGTTATCTGAAAGAATCCAAACATCTTATATTATTGAAGCGGATGGAGGCGGCGCTTGACATCAAAACAGGGGTGGGCAACACATCTCTCTATATGGCCAAACATCCAAGGACACGGGAAACCCCTCCTGTGCTCCTTCCACGCGCAGATCGATCCATGTCCAGAGTCCACAACTTCACCATCTCAATGTAGCCAATGGTCCGTCTCTTCTTCGGTGACTCCGTCGATTGAAGCGTCCCCGTAGCAGCAGTCGCAAGACATGAGGCCTACGCGCGAAATCGCCCGTAAGAGCTGCCCCTGAAGCGAGAACATCGCTGCGGCGAGAAGGCCTAAGGAACTTACGGAAGAGCCTCGGCTTCACCTGCCACAGGCCGGTGCTTCTCGACTTCGAACACGTTGGACCCTGCCAAGGGGCATCCAGTTCATTCCCTTTCGCTCTTGGACTATGGTATTAAACCTATATTACGCTAACTTGCTTTGCTCAAGGTTCTGGTAACTTGTGATCAAAGCATTTTCTCAGGGCTGCCCTTATCTCCTTCAGCATCTCGTCAATCCCGATATGCCTCCTGCAGAACCAAGGCAACGGGGTTAAACAAAATGAAGTGACACTAAAACCGGACAAGAAATAAGCAGACGTCAAAATAGAATGACATATTGCTTCTAGGGCTATGACGGTTCCAATTCTAGAAGATTTGGCAGCCCAAATGAATAGAACAGCACATTTATGAACTTTAATATGAACTGCTTAAAATTGAAAGAATTATAAACATGCGTTTAGTTTGGTAAGGTGATGAGACATACAACACGCTAGCAGCCACAACAGCTTGAGGTCTTGGATAGTCCCCAAGCTCCTTTTCACCACCTTCAACTTTAGCCTCTGATAAGACCTGATGATTGCTTACGTGTCCATGTAGGTTATCTTTGCTGCCACTTTGGTCATGCCCTTCTTCACATCCAATTGAAGATATCTCTAAGGCCAGCGATGATAGCCTATCATTGGCCTACAAGGACGGGAGGAAAATCGACGCCACGATAGTTAAAACAGTGAATGTATCAATATGAAATCAAATTTTCAATAGATTGTTTCAAAGAGAAAATTCATTTCCATACCAGTGGCTAAATTTTTACATTGACTCACCAAGCCTAACACAATCCTCCTCCTTTGTTAAGGCTTGGAACCTGCTATGCTAGAACACCATAGGCACCCTAACATAGACGGAGTTTTCAAAGAGAATTGCGTCACTCAAATTAGCAACAATATAGTTTTTCAGTCCCAAGCAAGTTGGGGTAGACTAGAGTTGAAACCCACCAAGAGCCCCAAGTCACGGTTCAGGCACTTCAATAGCTGCTTTCTAAGTACTCATATTCAAACATAGATCTCTAGATATATCCCAAGCTTTCAAATATCTTTTTATTACCTCCTCCCATGTCAATTTCGGTCTTCCTCTACCTCTCCTCATATTATTAGCTTGGCTTAGGACTCCACGATGCACTGGTGCCTCTGGAGGTCTCATTTGGACATGGCCAAACCATCTCAGCCGATGTTGGACAAGCTTTTCTTCAATTTATGCTACCTCTAGACGATCATGTATATCATCGTTCCGAACTCGGTCCATTCTTGTGAGACCGCAAATCTATCACAACATACGCATTTCTGCAACACTCAGTTGTTGAACATGTCGAATCTTTGTAGGCCAATATTCTGCTCCATACAACATTTCTGCGTCACCCAAATTAGGAAGACAACAATTTTACTCAAATTAAGGAATTGAAGTGCACCTTAGGAAGATCAATCTTGTTCAGGACCACAACATAAGGTCGCTCCAGGTATTGGGGGTTATACATCCTTAGTTCCTGCAAAGAGCTACATGTCAGATCGCTGTTCGAAACTGCACCATGACTTGAGAACAAAATATAGAGTTATAGACAAATGATGATTCAGTTTTGATTACCACAATCACAAGCCTGATACACCCAATTGAATTTTTCAATCATTTACCAAAGCAAGTTCTCTTCTAAGATACTATATTTCTTTCTCGTAACTCCTTTAAGAAAGCAACTTTTATTCTAAGATCCTATTTTCCCCCTACTAACTGTTCAGAAGCCTGGTATCCTCAGAATCTGAACTGGTCATTCTAAAAGCCACTGGGAGCAAATTGTTACTCCCTCTGTTCCAAATTTTAAGACGTTTTAGCTTTTCTAGATACATTACTTTTACTATAAGCTATGTATTTAGAAAAGCCAAAACATCTTATAATTTGGAATGGAGGGAGTACATTGCTACACTCATAACACTTGACTTCCCTTGACCTTGACTCGTTAAGCTTAAAATACACTTAAACTGGCAATATGATTCTTCTCCTGACAACATATACAAGTGTTTATCAAACAATCTCACTACTAATGCTAGGGTAACACAGATCAGATAGATCATGAACATTGTAATACTGAGATGTGAAAGCCAAACAGCATATGAGAGTGATGGAAGCAATTAGAAATTAGTACTTCTCTGACAATCTTATAATCATTGACAGGGTCATCTGCAGCAGCATCGACAACATGGACGATTACTCTAGTTCTCCCTAAGTGTCTTAAGAAATTGCGGCCAAGACCCTGAAAAATTAATTAAACCACATGATAAGTCCAAATGAAATAGTGAGGGGAAGCGGCATGAAAGTTCCAAAGAGAAGTAATTAGGAAAAAGCAAATAATATAGAAGTAAAAGCATTACCTTTCCTAGATGAGCGCCCTCAATTAGACCTATGTTGCTTCTGAGGAAAACTGTAAGGCCCCTAAAGCAGGATCTCCACCAAGCCGGCCAAGATTGGGCATTAATGTAGTGAAGGGATAATCAGCAATGTCTAGTCTTGCAAGCGTTATAGCTGATAGAAGTGTTGACTTTCCAGCATTTGGAAGTCCCTGAGGGCAATTAAGACAACTTATAACAACATGGTGATATGGCAAGGAAATAAATTTGAAGCAAGCCTCAAAATTAGGATAATCAAACATCTGCATCCTAAAAGGAAACAGGACTGACTCTGGTATATGATAGATGAACATGAAGCGTTAACTAAATGATGGAAACATTATCTTTCTCCCTAAAACTTGAGATGCGTGGATTAGTAAAACGTCATACCACAAGGCCAACATCAGCAACTACCCTTAAGATCAACTCCAAGCTTATTTCCTCACCAGGCTGACCATGAGTTAACACCTGAAGACAAGAGAGGTAACAGAATCAGGAAACATTACTATGGACTTGACAATAGTAGCCAGTAAAACCACCTTGAAATCTTTAAGCTATCAAAATCCACAATGCTAACAAAAATGACATACAGGCAGTTCAGTGTTCAGTAAGGAATTTATAGTTGACTGCTAACATTAGCGCTTGAGCATCATACATCTTCTTCTCATGATCAGTCATCAAGCAGTAAACTGCTGTTTGTGGAAGTTTAGTTCAATTTGTGCATCAGTTAACATGACATCAGAGACATGCAAGCAACTGGACATTTACAAAGTGCATGCAGAGATGGAGAAGAGGCAGCCAACTAGACTGGTTTCCTATCTGATGGGCTCATTGTACAAGTACAAGTACATAGACATCTTTTCTCTAATGAATCCTTCCCCCAACTAAAAAATCCAACAAGAGACATAAGTGACACAACCCTGAAGCTATCCATAAGTGACACAACTTACTTTGTCGCTAGTATCTCGCATGATGTTTGGGGATAAAACCATGGCTTTCCTCCTCCTGTACTCAGGCACATCTATCAAGCTGATCTGCAAAATAACTAAATAAATATAGTACACATGTAAAACCATAATATGAATCCAGTATACTTATTGTTTCCTAAAAAATACAGTATACTTATTATAGCAAATAAAGGGAATAGTCATAGTGAACAAAACGGGGCACTTTTTTTTTAAGTAAGAGGTCCTAAGTGGTTCTAGATCATTTACACTACATACTCAGTGCACAAAGGAATATGCATAATTTCTATTGCTTAACACCCTTCCCCAGACCCCGCACAGAGCGGGAGCTCTCTGCACTGGGTACGCCCTTTTTTTAAGTAGCTGGCTAGCTGCCTTAGCAGAAATCAAGTACACACCTAAGATCATAGACAAGTCTGTCACCCATTGCATCATTTATAGAATAACACCAAAATCAAGTTAATGGATCTATCACACTAGGCTGCAGTGCTGCACATGCATATACTTCAAATGTGTCAAAACTGTACAGCTGCATCTCAAAATGTTGAAACCAGGTAACCATGATTCTTACCACACACTTCACGGCACTGATGTTTGTGCTTAAAATAATATTGCAAAATTAACATGACGATGAAATGCTTACTACACTCCACAGCATTTAGGATGTCAAAAAGAGTTAGAGATGCTTATTATACTCCACAGCATTTAGGCTGTCGAAACGGGTTACAGGAATAAGTTTTTGTCTTTCAATAATTCATAAAATTAGGGACATTGACAGTTTGATACTGGAATCCACATTTCCTCTTGCATCAGCGTGACAGAATAGTCAATGAGTACTCACCCCGCCCTGTCCACCTCTAGCAACGAGCACTTCATCACCGGGATGAGCCAAATCCGCCAGAACAGCCCCCTTCTAGCGTTTCACAACAGTTCCTGCAATTCCATGTGAAGGCATCCTGCATCCATCAAAAAGGCCAATGCCCGCACAGGAGAAATGCTCGAAATTCACAGCACCGAGTCCACAAACCTACAGGCACGGGTATCCTGAGCGTCTCCCCGGCGAACCCGCTGTGCATCCGCGAGCTGAGCGTGCCGCCAGCGGCGCCCACGTTCCCTCCCCGTTTGGCGCAGTACCGCGCCTTCTCGTGGAACCGCAGCAGCGTCTCCTCGGACTCGTCGGCGTACACCACGACGTCGCCGCCGTGGCCGCCCGTCGGCAGCGCCACGGACCCGTCGTAGTTGCGCTTGTACGACACCTTCTTGCTCTTCTTCTCGCCCCGGTTGAACCTGCCGCGGGGCTTGGCGGCGTCCGCGGAGGGCGCCGGCGGCATGGCGAGCACGGTGCCGTGCCCGCCGTCGCCCGCGCGGACGGTGACCACGGCGTGGTCGAAGTACTTGTGCGCCTCCTTCGCCAGCGCCTGCGGCGGTGGCGAGGCGCCTGCGCTCAGGCGGGCTCCTTGACCCTGGCCGCGCGGCACGTGACCGCGAGCAGCGTGCGCTTCCTTCCGGGGCCGGGGAGGGCAAGGAGGCAAGAGGCGTCCGAGATGGCGCGGTGGTGGTGGGCTGCCGCGCGGAGAGGAAGGGAGGCGGGGATGGAGGAGAAGCGCCATGGTGGTCCGATGAAAACTTTAGTTCTTATAAAGGGTTTAATCCTTTTCCTCTCAATAGCATATCGAGGAAGAATATACATTATCGCGATTACGTGTCATGAAATTAAACGTTTAAGAAACTATGTACTGAGACCATGAATTCATATTTCATCTAATTTTACATGATATATTAGTCTAGAATAATACCAAGAAATTCTATATTAAGAATGGCCTAAGAGTAAGGTCAATAATAAAACCAAATATTTTGCTATAAGTTAGCTGATAATAGCTAAGTTATACAATAGTTAGTCTTCTACTTGTATACAATCTTTTTTATTAATATATGTTTCTATTCTCTTTGATATTTCTCCTCACATACATCTCTATTGGGACCCACTTGTTGATATGATTTGCCCTACTTGTTACCTGCATTAGAGTCTAGCTCTCTTCTCTCTCCTCCTTTCTCTCATCCACTAACTAGCTTGCGAACTCTAATATAGAAGGATGGATGTGTGCATACGTGCATAGACAAAATTACCACCGATCTAAATGAAGTTGATTTCTTTTTCTTATCCATTTTACTACCTCATTTTTGCTTAAATTTATGATTGAATTTATATGGACTCATTAGTTTTAATTAAACCAAATTGAAAGCCTTGACCCAAGAACTAGGGCAGTACCATCTCTAGCGCCTGGACAGTGGGAGAACTAGGACATCTGGCATCTCTAGAAGACTAGTACCTGGTCGACATGCTAAGTGTGAAAGTGATATACTAAACCGAAGTGAGTAGACATAAGATTTATCCCGAGGTTCGGTTGCTTATCGGCAACCCACGTCCTCGCTATGGTGAGTTTAAGTGATGATTCAAGCGCGCTAACTAGCGTGACAAGCTAGACCCATAACTTAGGTGCCGCAAGAATCAATCAAGTGGTGCACTCTAACTAGCCACGAGCATTCCACTAGACTTGCTCTTCGCGATCTCCCGCAGGGAAGAGCACAAGAGTTTGTTACAATTGCTTGTTCGGAGCCAGCAACAATCACCAATAGTGGCTCAACAATCCCTTCCAACTTCGGGCCGGCTAGGTGACGGCAATCACCAAGAGTAACAAGAGCTCCACCAGCTGCCACACTCAACTAATGACACAAGATGCAAGAACAACAATGTAACCGCACTAGATGCTCTCTAACTCACCCAAAAGTGAATTGCAAGAGTGCAAGTAAGTGGAGTGAGTGTCTCAGCTCTAAAAGGGTGTAGACAAGTGTTAGGGGTGCCAAGAGAGTGTCTAGGGCCGGCCACAAGGTCTATTTATAACATTGTCTAATGGGCAAGTCAAACTGCAAGCCAACGTGTCTAGTGGGCAGGTTCGGTGTACCACCAAACTTGTCCTATGCATGTGGAAAAGATGCACCTAGAGCACAACTTCGTCTCCACGCAAGCGTGCAACTCTCAAATGTTTTGACAAACATGTAAGTCCAAAGTTAGCATTTTTCAAAGTGTTTTCACAAACATTTTTTGCTTGCTCTTCGATGTGTCTCCACGCAAGGATTTCCCATTATCGCTATAGGACCAGCATTGCTTGACCTCGTCCTCATCGGTGGATGAGTCATTGCTCGAAATCTTGAAGTAGTTGTCCACCAACATGCTTGAAGTTGATGAAGAAGAGCACGAACCAAGAAGAACAGTGGTTTTAGAGGGTAGTGGGCATGAAGAATATGTAGAGCACTGGGGGAGCCTCTTCGACTTCTCCCAGTGAAAGTAATGGTAATGAAATGGTGTTGGTAGCTAGGACATTACTCAATAGTCGCTAAGAATGTTGACCATCGGTCCATGGTCGATTTGGGCTGTAACACCTCGGGTGTTAGCCTTGCATAACTTGACTTGCATAGCATAAGCATGAGCATCAAGCATTCATAAATCATCACTTACAATTGAAACCTTTGATCGAAACATATGAAACATTGCTTGTTATCTCGTGTTTCTTGGAACATATGCACATGATCATGTGCAAATGAATGCAAGTAGGTAATGTTGGTCACTAAAACACTTTAGCTACACTTAGGTTAACAAAAGAAACATTGTTCATGAAGGTCACCTTTCATGATCAAGCACTTAAGTAATATCACATGTGTTGACATGGATAGCTATATGAGTGATTACTACATGAAATGCTTAAATGACCTTGCAAATTGTGTAAACATGCTTAGGATATCATTAGGAACAACTTTGGTATTTAGTGCTAAGGCTAGTTTGGTCATTTAGCCATGGTTTGTGTATGTATCATGATTTCAAAGTGACATGTTTGACTAAAGTT